TCTCTCTCTCTCTCTCTCTCTCTCTCTCTCTCTCTCTCTCCCTCCCCCCCCTCTCTCTCTCTCAACCCCCCATTCCGGGCTCCTTTTTAGAATGTAACAAGCCACAAGCATAGTCACCCTACTTCTGTTTTTGTACTTTTTCAGCCACTATTTTAGAATGGTCTGATTCTAATCGGTAAACAGACAGTTCCTTATAATTAAATGGGAAGACAAAACATTTCTTCAAATTATATTTTTTGCAGTCAATGTTTTCCTTTTATTTTTGTTCATCGACAAATTCCGTTTTAACGCTTAGAAAACGTATGATTTTATTTGACGACACAAAAAAACCTAACAAACAAACAATATCAACATTAAACGAACTTCATTTACTTCTTCCCTTTTTATTTCACAGACTGAACTGAACGCCGATTTGGACATTAATATGACTAGACTAACGACATATGAGACAGTTGGAGTATTAGTAAGTTTTAGCGATCGTTGTTCTTTTGAGTTCTTCACCATTTCATTCAATATCAATCATTTTTCTCCTTTCACCCTCAACTACTTTCTTCTCAAATATTTAATTGGAGATGTCAAACTCAATCGCTCAGAATGGGGCCAAACTCAAAATGCACTTTAGGTTGGGGGGGGGGGGGGCTCGAACTGGGTAAGCACCCACTGAGCATTGGAAAACGAAACCTTTATTTAAACAATGCTATTATGATATAAAACAAATAAAAGTGAAAATTATAACAAATCGAGGCATTCAGAGGGAAGTAGAAAGTGTTCAGCCAAAACATTAGAGAAAAAAAGAAAAAAAAAAAAGAAGCCCAACGGTCGGTAAAATACCGGTTTCTTCGATTTCATTATTGAGCAGCGCTGGCCTGATCTCACCACGATGCCTCAAATATAATAGTTTGCAGAGCCGGGTGCAGCCCGGGTGCCTTAAGTTTGACATCTTTGCAGGGACGGCTCGTGGTTTGGAGAATTGATCGGCTGTCGACTCTACTCGGAAGTTATATCCATCTTAGCCTCGGTGGCTCTTACAGGCAGCCCGCCACCTTATTGATCTAAATCGTGTCGACGGGGCGTCAGACCTTTGCAATTACATTTAAAAAAGCAATGTCGTCTTCTTATCAGCAGCGCTTCCCTTCCCCAGACATCTCCTCCAACCACCCCCACTCCTTTGTTTTTCCTATTTTCTTTTCTAGTCCATCACCGTCACCACCTACAATCCATACCCACCACTAGGATCATTCTTATGCCAATCACAACGCCCACCATAACGTCCACCACCACACTCCACCACCACGTCCACCACCACGTCCACCACCACGTCCAC